ATCCCCCCAAAGTATGCCCCTGCTACTAAGTAAATGCAGACACTTTTGGACATAATAGCAGTATAGAGCAGGGGATTACATATGGCAATATAACGGTCATATGCCATTGCAGCTAAGAGGAAGCCTTCGGTACTCACGAACACTACAAAGAAGCAATGCTGAGTGATGCATCCCGCATAAGAAATGATATTAGATTGTGCTAAATTCATCAACAGCCTTGGGGCAAAGATGGAAGAATAGCAGAGATCAACTACAGAAAGATTGCTAAGGAAGAAATACATAGGGGTGTGAAGCCGGGGGCTAATCCTGATCAGTACTATCATCCCCATATTCCCAGCCAATGTCAGAATATAGATCAACAGGAATATCGCAAAGAGAGGAACTTGAACCTCCAGCCGATCTGTTAGTCCAAGAAGGATGAATTCAGTCGCCATAGTGTAATTGTTTGCAGCCATTTAGTTGTGATGACATGATACTTGCACCTGGTTAACACAATGAAAAGAAGAGGGTCATCACTTCTGATTGGTGGCACTGTTGGTAGCACAGTTACCAAGCCACTATAAAGATTTAAATAGTTATATATTGTTATATCACATTTAAATGTGAGCTTACCTAATTCACACTTTCCAAAAGAATCAGCAAGCCAAAACACACACATACTTTGGCACTTGCACTTCTCTGAATCTTGCAATGAAGTTATCCAGTCATGTACTGTGTAACAAATAAATCCTATACTAGGGTGTTGGGTATAAAAATCCATATATTTGTTAAAGTAACATGCAAAAAAGCATAATAGCAAGGGAAATGGCTTTGTAAAAATGTTTTTATATATATATTAGGAGGAAATTGCCCAGAAACGTGTGTATTAGGAGAAATAATGAAAATAAGACTTCTCCTTTTAGAGGCCTACCAAATTTTTGTTTGTCAGAGCTACACGTTATGAGGCAAACAGAAGGTACTCAACTATTGTCTTCTTCCTAATACTAATTTACAGGAGGAAATAAGCAGGAACTGGATATGGGACAGCCATTTTATCCTGGTTTCCCTTCAGCTGGACTACATGACTGGAAATTAATCCAAGGGAATGACATATTGGAAGGGCACTTGAAGGGAAGAATTGGGGGTAGGGCACAGAAATAGTTAAGAATCTCTATCTTCTGATTTACCCCTATAATTCCCCACCACCACCATTTGCATTATTTCATCAAATTAGGGAACTCACATTTGCTGATGGGTACTTATGTTTTCGGGACACAGGTGGCACTGTGGGTTAAACCACAGAGCCTAGGACTTGCTGATCAGAAGGTTGCGGTTCGAATCCCTGCGATGGGGTGAGCTCCCTTTGCTCGGTCCCTGCTCCTGCCAACCTAGCAGTTCGAAAGCACGTCAAAGTGCAAGTAGATAAATAGGTACCACTCCGGCGGGAAGGTAAACGGCGTTTCCGTGTGCTGCTCTGGTTCGCCAGAAGTGGTTTAGCCATGCTGGCCACATGACCTGGAAGCTGTACGCCGGCTCCCTCGACCAATAAAGCGAGATGAGCACCTCAACCCCAGAGTCGGTCACGACTGGACCTAATGGTCAGGGGTCCCTTTACCTTTATCTTTACTTTTGTTTTCAGGCCCTTGTAATTCTAACATTACATTCCTGTTCAAGGAAAGTATTTTTTAAATGAACAAACTGAATGAATGTTTATTATTACGGCTAAACAGCCAGCATAGTGAAACCAGAAATTCAGAATATTTTTTACATAAACATTAAAACGGTCAAAATGGAATTTAACAGTCAACATACTAATTGAATAGATTTAAAATATGTGTCCAAGGAAATATAAACTCCAATTAAATAGGCAAACAAACTCTGTTCTTACCAGCACCTTTGTTGGATTTGTCAGGTTCAGGCATGAATCATATACATCTTCATTATCAATCAGTTTGCAATGGAAAACGAAACACTGAATGCAGTTTGCTTGCTGCTACCTTAAAACATGCAAAGGAAATCTGGAAGTCCCAGCTGCAGCCGACACCATCTTCAAATAATAGAGGAAGGCAGTCTGCCTTTACCAGGAGGCTGGAATGAATGCATGGCAGCATCACTGCGCAATTTTTACAGGACAGTTGATCCCAGATTCAATGGTTTATGATGGGAGAGGGATTTATTATTATTATTAATGAAATCCCTGAAGCAACTCTAGTCTCAGAGAAAATAATTAAAAATTACACTTGTGGGAGCTCTAAAAAAAGCTCTGTTTTTTAAAAAAGTTAATTAAAAATTGAATTGCTGTTCTTTCCCCCCTCTATTTGAATATAAATAATGAACATACCTTTCCTCATAATTTATTTTGTTCATGCTTCAAGTACAAGGAACACCATAATCAATATTTGAGTTAGCCCAGTCTTCAGCATGATATAAATAATTTTCTCAGTTTTATATATGCCATATGGGCAGTGGTGGACTTTGGGCTCTCAAATTCCAGTGGTGTCCTGTGCAACGTCAAAATTCAGCACCCCCTGCCTCTTGTGCTCCTTTCTACAGAATTGTTGTGGTGCCCTTTGTGCCCAAACTGGTCATGCTAGCAGTTTGAAAGCATGCCAGTGCAAGTAGATAAATAGGTACCACTGCTGCAGGAAGGTAAACGGCATTTCCATGTGCTCTGGCACTCGTTACGGTCCTCCATGCACCAGCAGCGGTTTAGTGATGCTGGCCACATGACCCGGAAAACTGTCTGTACACAAACGCTGGCTCCCTCGGCCTGAAAGTGAGATGAGCATTGCAACCCCATAGTCACCTTTGACTGGACTTAACCATCCAGGGGTCCTTTACCTTATCTTTACCTTGCTACCCTAAAACTGCCTTTGATATGGGGAATGTATTCCATTGCACTTGAGCCAGAATCCAACAATGGCAGAGCTGGATCCTTTCCACCTGTCTGAATTACACAAATGGTGGTGGTGTATGTACTCCAGTGTACATACAGAGTACAGTATGTACTCTTGAATCAGACACAGTCTCCACAATACAATTTGACAGGGCATTTTGTACTGTTTTGTATCTAATTGGCCTAAAGGGCTGTAAAGGATAGCATGAAGTTTAGGAGTGGATAGGACTTTTGCTTCTCTTCCTTCATAGATTCAAGAAACTCTCCTTGCCTGTCATATCTACCATGTCCATGTAAGGATCTCCCATGTATCACTACGAGGGAAATTCTCTCAACACACACAGTGGTATTGCAGTGCATTCAGTCATTCAAATCCTGTAAGAGAGATACATTCTTGGATGGGCTTTCTGTGCACATATGCAACCTCCCACAGGTGTTGCTAAAGACACTGATGTATGTCAGCATGCAGACCCCAAATACCACTACATTGACCAAGAACTGTTGAACATCTAAAGGATTCACTTTAAATGGCATTGTGTGCGGTGTTTCATTTTGTTAATTAAGTTGGACTAGTTTTTGCTGTCTTCTAATCTTTACAACCTTTGACACATTCCTGCACGTCTGTAATGGGGAGCTTAACTTTTGTGCTCCTATTCCAACCATAGGGTGTTAGCTGAGGCAGTCACGTATGCTGCTTTTGTTCTTAGCAAAGACATAGGTGGCGCTGTGGTCTAAACCACTGAGCCTCTTGGGTGTGCCAATTGGAAGGTTGGCAGTTTGAATCCCCGCAGCAGAGTGAGCTCCTGTTGCTCTGTCTCAGCTCCTGCCAACCTAGCAGTTTGAAAGGATGCCAGTGCAAGTAGATAAATAGGTACTTCTGTGGCAGGAAGGTAAACGGTGTTTCTGTGTGCTCTGGTTTCTGTCATGGTGTTCCGTTGTGCTAGAAGTGGTTTAGTCATGCTGGCCACATAACCTGGAAAGCTGTCTGTGGACATACACCAGCTCCCTCGGCCTGAAAGTGAGATGAGCGCCGCAACCCCATAGTCGCCTTTGACTGGAATTAACCATCCAGGGGTCCTTTACCTTTTTTGTTCTTAGCAATGCAGCTGCTACTTTCATGGTCACTCATTTTGGTCTAGTTTCTGCTCTGAAGTAACCTGACCATGTCAAGTTCCCCATCCACTAAGGGCAGAATCCCGTTGTTGATAGCAAATGATCTGCATTTGACTGGTGTGGAAGGACTGTGTCATGCTCCCATACCAAAACACAGTAACGGTGCTTCTTAACCGAGAATAAGGAAGATATCTTTATTCAGGCTAGTAACAGAAGAGGCTCAGCAGCAATCACAGGGCCCAGAAATCATGATTCCAAGGTACAAGGGTTAGACAAGAGATACACATTTGAATGGAAGCAATGAAGATGTTCCAACAGTTACCACACTCCTCTCACCACGATTTTAAAGACAGGGCGAGCTCACACACATGACTTTCTTGCTTTACAAGATTCCTGTGAGCACAAACGTAAGCTCCATTTGGGCTGATGCATGGGCTCACTGTGTCTTGCCCTCAGACTCTGGATTCACTGCCACCTCTTTCTGCTCAGTCCCTCCTATAGGCTGGCCGAAGTGCTCCCCCTACCCCAGTGAAACCCTATGCTTCACAGGAGGGGCAGTGGAGAGAGCCGGCAGATTTGCTTCTCTCTCCCCCTGATATCTAGAGTTGCAAGAGGAGAACCTCCATCTTCCATCCCCGGGTGGCAGCCTTCAAGGTTCAGCCTCTACTACTTCTTCTCTCTGCTCCTCTTCCATTTGGGACTGCCAAACCATGCTAGATCCTGATGAAACTGAGAGGCCTATGACAGACTGAACAGAGAAGGAAAGCACAGTATATGCATTTAACATATCCAGGGAATTCTGAAATACACACCTTCTCAATTCCCTCATCTCCTGACAAGACAATTGGCATTTAATTCGTTCTTTGTAGGGTAATGCTGGACCTGAAGTTCCATGTCCCTCTATGTCCATAGACAGGAAGGTTTAAGGTATATGTGGTGGGCTGGGAAAAGATGCAGTTGCTAGGATTTTATTATTCTATTGGTATAGATCACCAAAATACATTTGGAAATGTTCCAGTATGTTCAGTTGATATAAGGCCATGCCTTAAGATTTTATTGGCATATAGGTGGCCCAGTCCACCTATACTTGGTAACTCTTAAAAGAGATATTTATTGAAATACCACTTTTCTCTGAATCACTTTTCTTAGAGCACATTTTACATCCTTGTTCCTCAGACTGTAGATCAAAGGATTCAACACAGGTATTATCACTGTGTAAAACACAGAGGCTACTTTGTCTGTGTCAAGAAAGTAGCTGGAGCTGGGTCTGAAGTACATGAAAAGAATGGTCCCATGGTATATGGCCACTGCTGTGAGATGGGAGGCACATGTGGAGAAAGCTTTAAGCCTCCCCTCAGCAGAGCGAATCCTGACTACAGCTATAATAATGAATACATAAGAGATTATAATGACCAGCAAGGTGCTCATTTCAAACAGGCTACCAAAAATGAATACCAGCATCTCATTGATGTAGATATCATTACAGGCCAGTTTCAGAAGGGGCGTGAGATCACAAAAAAAGTGATTGATGATATTGGAACCACAGAAGGACAGTCTCAACAAGCCACCTGTGTGAATCAGAGAGTTCACAATACCCAAGAGGTAGGATCCTGCTATCAGACCTGCACAAAGTTTCTTGGTCATCACAGAAGCATAGAGCAGAGGGTTGCAGATAGCCACATACCGGTCATACGCCATGGCTGCCAGAAGAAAAAACTCAGTAGTGGCAAAGATTGCAAAGAAACAATATTGTGAAATGCAGGCAGCATAAGTGATGCTTTTGTTTTCTACTAAAAAATTCACCAGCATATTAGGTGTGATGGTGGTGGAATAACAGGCATCTAGGAAGGACAGGCTGCTGAGAAAAAAATACATTGGAGTGTGCAGTTGAGGATCTATGCCAATCAATATAATCATCCCAAGATTCCCCACCAGTGTGGCAATATAGATTATTAAAAAGACCACGAAGAGTGGAGGACACAGCTCCAGATTTTCTGTTAGTCCAAAGAGATTGAAGCTGGTTGCCATGGTGTAATTTTCTTTAGCCATTGGATTCATTCACACTTTCCTGTTAGGAAAAACAAAGCAAGATTTCTTTATTAGATATGGGACACCATAGCATTTTAACCTCTTTTTGTCTCCTTTTCTCTAACCTCAGTAGTTGAACTGTGTGAGCTACAATTGTTTGGCTGGGAGGTCCTCTTTGATGGACCTTTATTAACTGGAGACTTTTTTAAAAAGTGAAATCTGGTGGAGGGTTTTTAATCTGGTTTTGCCATTGCACTCATCAATCACCTGGACAGACTGTAAATTCCACAAAATTAATTATTGCAGCTAAAGTGAGCCATTAACGCTCTTAGACCTCTTGGCTACTTCACAGTCCTGCTTCAATTAGATGGAATCACAACTCAAATAAAATGGAATTTGGCAAGAGCAGTGGTCTCTATATGCTTGCTTAGAACTGAGTTTAGGTAACCATGTACAGATTTCACCACATTAGAAGTACATAAAATGTCAAACTGGAAAAAGCAGAATGATACCATGTCCTCTGTGGGCTGCTGGGGAAAGTTCCATGTCATGCCAGTTCCCAATACCCTCAAATGATACAACTCTGACACCATTCTAGCTCATAACAATTTACTGTTTTAAGTTACAATAGTGAGCCTGGTGGAATCTGCACACATTTTTTAAAAAACACAGTGAAAATGCTTTTTAAAAAAAAGTTTTGAAAAATACATTGAATTTGTCATAGCTCACTCTCGCCATCTAGTGTCACATTTGTATATTGCACATTACAACACACTTAAAACATTTTATTTGCAGCTGTATAGCTGGGTCCCCTACCCCCAGTTTCCATAGTCCTCTAGGACTGGAGTGTTAGAGCCACCTTAAATGTTGGGCTACCCATTCCCTTATCTTCTAGTTCAACACTCCCTGCCTCTGAATTTGACACTACTCTGGAAGGTGAAGTACTCTCCACTGTTGACTATGGACCCTTACCACACTGGCATCAGTTGCAGTACTCCTCTTTTGATGCTACCAGACTCTCCTCTTTTCTTCCCCCACAGCTCTTCATCCCATTTCCATTCCTCAAGATCTTCTACCTAACTCTTCCCTTTGAGCATTATTCTTTCTCTTAGACAAGTGTCTCCATCATGGACCTGGATCACTCTCCCTGACTGAACCTCACTTCTATGTCTCCTCACATTTACATAAGTAGATATGTCAAAGTTACTTCTAGTCTGAACAATGTTGCCCTTTTCCCAGATCACTCCAGTGAATGTTAGGAACATTCTCTTAAGTTTTCAAAATTGGAACAGTAGAATAAAAGAACCACACATTCTTTCCCCACATCTGGCTGGAACCACCCTCCTAACCACAAGAGAAATGGAAAGTTAATTCATGGCTATAGGTTTATTAATTGTTTGGCTTTTATATTCAATAAAACTACTAATGACATCACAAAACTACTGACGACATCACAAAACTACTAATGACATCACAAAACAAATTTATTCATCTTTATTTGGAAAATATGAATCTTGGATGAAATATAACAGACCTTATTCTGGAGGGCACAAATCAGACTATTTCTGGTATATCAGTCTATTTCAGGGAACCTGCCAGCATCACCCAAAGTTAGGAACGTTGTGAGCTGCCATATGAGATGGGTAAACAGAACTGCTATCCATGAGGCTCAAGGCAGCCCTCAAATGACCAGAGCAATTGCTGTTATATGACTGGGGGTGGGGGGCAGATTCATTCTCTGGGACATGGACCAGATTGCACAACTTAAGACACGCGGACCATGAACACAGAGCTTCTCCTATGTTGTTGTTGCATCTTCCATTTTAGAACTCAAAGGCAGCCAACAAAACCAGGTTTATTGATCCTCTGATGCGTCACCACATTTTCCTAGTGAGTTTGACAGGCCCAAAACAGACCTGAGATATTGTAATGATATTGAATGCTTTTCAGACATTTGATAAACAAAGTGAAGAGGCAACCACGAATAAATATTTAGCAAGCTACAAAAAGAGAAAAGTCACTAATGCTATGAGAATTACCTGTAGAAGAAATGGAAGATATCCAGTTGCTTAAGAAGTCATTCCTGAAATGAAGTTGTGCTTTTCTGAACTACTTATGTGTATCATAGAGAGATCTGAGGCAAATTACATGACGTTTTTAAAAATATCTCTAATACCAAAACAACACAATTAAAGTTTCTCCCAGTGGTGTGTTCTCCAAGAAAGGTAATTGATCTCAAAGGTATTTGTGAATATTGTTCCTGTTTGTCAAATGCTTCTTTTACTCCAAAGTAATTTTTGTACTTTTCGTACTTCTGCTTTGCAGTTCTAACCACGTGTTTATGCTCAGCAGCACTGTTGGCAACAGATGTCCCACCCATCCAACTTGCATGCTTTGCCCCTGCCCAAAGGTAAGCAGGAAATACATGTGTATGGCCTTGCTGTGGAGTTACTCGGACACCATATTTGGGGCCAAGGAGGAAACAGCCTACAGAATTTGCCTACAGACAAACTGGGCTGGTTTGGAGGTTTTGCTTACCTCACAACAAATGTGAGGTAAACTTGCTGGTGGATAAAGACATTGAGCTGAATCTTTAATCTAAACAGAGGGGGTGGAAATGAGCCCAATTCCCTTCTTATCAATCAAGAAGGTTCACAAACCTGCAGGAACGCCACTTAGCCCCATTGAAACAAAATTAATATAGCAGAATTTCCTGTAATGCCTGTCTCCATAATGGAGGTGGAAGTACAGCCTTAAAGTAGGAAGCACAGGAATATAAGATGGTGATGTACTCAAACCACTGGCTCTTCTAACTCAGTATTGTCTACACCTACTGGCAGTAGCTCCATAGGGTTTCAAGCAGGAGTCTCTGAAACCCTCCCTCAAGATGCTGAGGATTAAACCTGGGACCTTCTGGAAGCAAAACAGATGCTCTACCACTGAGCAGTGGCTTAATAATATTCACCCCTGGAAACAGAGCTAGAATATATCCATGAAAAACGTAAATCAGTACAACTTATGCTAGCTTTCCATGCTTAGGATTGCTCCCTAAACCACCCTTTTCAGTGGAAACACATCCCAATATCAATTCCCAGTGAAATAATGCCATATAACTGATGAGATTGTTTATTTTATTGGACCAAAAATGGGCATATTCTTGTCCCTGCCCCCAGTTTTATGCACCATGATTCTATGCATGTTTAATTGGAAATAAGTACCATTGGATTCAATAGTCCTTATTATCAAATAAGTGTGTATAGGATTGCAGCCATACTACCCAGTCCTAGTATTTTCTGGTAAGTGTGCACATAATGTTATAGTTGTTCAGTGGAATTCCTGATCTGCACCTTGTGTAGAAGTAAATGAGAGTTCAACCCCAAGAATGTGTTTTAATGTTTTACTGTGGAACAGTTTTAAATGCTAGTCAGGTATAAAAATTACATGAACTGAATAGTAAAGTAGCACAACAGCAAACAAGCAATGTGGTTCAGTTCTTTATGTTGTTCAGTAAACTTTCCTCTCTCAAGTCCTATCTTTGACTTCCGAAGTTTCATTTCCTGCTGTAAGAGTTGCAGCTCTGATTTCCAGGAGATGAGTCATCAGGTAGTTTAGCTCCTTGAAATCGAAAAACACCAGCCTTCCGCTTTCACCCAGAGTGGAACCTCTCGTTTAAGGTAAATGTCTCTTTATAGCATTCCAAACACAATGTGTTCAAACACAACATTTTATGTATATGAAACTTACAACTTTAACACAGAAGAGGACTGCAGTCTTGCCCTAAATTCCTAATGAGTGAAGAGGTCATAATGTTTTACGCTCAAGTTGAAGTCACATTCATGTTCATATTGGAAAATACAACTCCTACTGGCTTGCACTCTGCTCAGTCCAATATGCTCTGAGATGTCTGGCTTCTAATCACCCTTCAATATGTGTGCAAATATTCCTGTCTAAAATTCAAGGAAACAGTGGTTTTATTCCTATCATCCTAAAGCAAGCATGTCTGGAAGTTTCACATCAAAGAATACTCAAAGATATTTGGGTGCAAGTGTAGATAATGAACATTTTGCAAATGTGATATGAAGAAATAGCTCAGAAAAATATCTGAGGGAGGATAAACGCAGTTTCATTGGTGCTAAATAAATAAATTTGGTATTATTGTGAACTTATTTTCACTCTTTCTAAAATCATTTCATTCTTCTACCAGTCTTATCACACAAAAGTGAAATTTAAGCAAAAAGATCAAACACTGAAATGCCACTAAACTATGTTTTAATAATCATCATTAGCATATTATTAATTACTATCATTATATTAGTCACCTAATGCAGGAAAGGTAACTTATAGAATAAAAATGCAGAGTTAAAACCATCAACCATCAATTCACTAACAAAAAAATAACCTCAATAATTACAGCAACACCAGCAATAGTACCTTAGTCATATGTGGGCCACAACAAGCCTGTCACAATTAACCAAATGCCTGGGGAAAAGAAGATGGTCCTAACTTTTTGCCAAAAAGGCATTAAAATCAGTAGGAGATTTTTCACTGGGGCCACAACTGAAAAAAGAAAAAAACCCTTCTCTTTCTTTACATGTGGTATTGATGGACAGTCTATATGTATGTAGGGGAGCAGGGTTGTGCTTGCTGCCCTGCCAATTTCTATATGCATTGCACAAAAGCCTATTCATCTACACATTTTTTATTTGTTTTATTTAATTTACGTAATTTTGGAACCATTTGTTATGAAACATCTCAAAGTGACGTAACAATAAAAACAACAAAAGTAAAACTATATATGAAACAATCATACATTAAAACAAGTTCAAATCCAATAAAGGTAGAGACTGGAATTAAAATCTCCACAGAAAAGGATTGTTGATGACATGTACACTTCCCACCCAATTTACGAACCATTAGCAGGGCATGGATTTGTACATAAGGAGGTACACTCTGTCTGTGTGACATGCTGAACTTGTGCAGAATGAAGAGGAGGCGACCCTATGGGTGAGATCCTGCGACGTCTTTGTGTACGTCGGTGGCACGTAGATGCACAGTGTGGACTGAAGTGGATTTATCCTTTAAGTTCATAGGTAAACATTGTGCAAAGCTGTCTGCTGTCGATTCCACTGTAAATGGGTTTACAAAATGGGCATCATGTGTCAGAGAAGGTCAGATGTGGTGCTGATCAGATCCATTCTTCTATAACAGAAAATAGATTTGCTTGTGTTTCTTTCTTCATTAATGTAATAATAGCCTTCTCTGTGCCACTCTCCTCAGGGCATCCTTAACCTCCCTGTTTCTCAGGCTATAGATAAGGGGATTGAGCATGGGAATGACCACAGTATAGAAGACTGAAGCCACTTTGTCTGTACCCAGGGAGTAACTAGATCTAGGTCGGAAATACATGAAGAGAACTGTGCCATGGAAGACTGTGACTATCGTGAGGTGGGATGTGCAAGTGGAGAAGGCTTTTTTCTTTCCCTCAGCAGACCTTATCCTTAGCACAGTAATCACAATGAAAACATAGGAAATAATGATTGTGACAATGCTGCTCGTTTCTGCAAAGGTACCCAGTACGAAAACACATAGTTCATTGATGTAAGTGTTTGTGGAAGAAAGTTCCAGCAAAGCAGTGATATCACAGAAGAAATGGTTGATGACGTTGGAGTCACAGGAAGACAATCTGAGCAAGTAACTGCTGTGTACTGAAGAGGTCATGAAACCCATATGAATGTTACTGTCAGCAGCTGTATGCACCTTTTCGGGGACATGATAACTGCATAGAGCAAGGGGTTGCAGACGGTGACGTAACGGTCATATGCCATCACAGCAAGCAGGAGGCACTCTGAGGTTGCCAAAAAGATGAAAGCGTAGTATTGAAGAACGCAACTTACATAGGTAATGGTGGCTTTTCTTACTAAGAGGTCCGCCAACAGCTTTGGAGTGATAACTGTTGAATAAAAGCTGTCAACGATGGACAAGCTCTGTAGGAAGGAGTACATGGGAGTCTGAAGGTGGGCATCAGCATGGATCAAGGCTACCATCCCGAGATTCCCCACCAGGGTGACCAGGTAAATCATTAGGTACAGCTCGAATAGGAAGCTGTCAATCCCAAGAAAACAAATTCAGGGGTAGCTGTAGTGCAATTCATGTTCACCATTCATTCAGTTCCAAGAGTTACTGCACCAGAATAAAAAAAGTAAAAATTAAACCAGGATAACACAGAGAGCAATTTTTGCAGCCTTCCCCTTGGTTCACCACTGTAAGCACAAAGTGCTGGACTAGATGGGTCATTGGCCTCATCCATCATGGCTCTTTTATGTTCTTCTGAAAATAGATGTATTGTTATATGTCTGTGTTCTGATATCCATGCACATATGTAGCAGATTCCAATGCAACCAATCACCTTTTAATGGTCAATGCTGTCTGTTGCTGAAAGCAGCAAAGCAAGTTGCTAGACTGCTTCTGTGTGCCATCTGTCCTCCACTCTTACCCTGTGTGACAGTTTACCAGGACCAAGAAAGACATCTGCTCTTAGCCACAAGAGTCCTGTCAGAACAATGAGTGCAAATGAACGGTCTTTCTCTATGTATATGACCCATGGATTGCTATCTCCCCACTCTGAGGAATTCTTGAACTATTTTAACATATGACTTCCGAAAGAAATGATAGGTGATCAATAGATAGATGACAGACAGACAGGATAGATGATAGATGATAGATAGATAGATAGATAGAGATAGACAGATAGATAGATAGATAGATAGATAGATAGATAGATAGATAGATATCACATATGATTATACTGTAACCTGATTTCTTTTCTGGCAACCTGAAATCCATTTGGATGCACAGCCATACTTACGGGATGGGATTTCCTTCTTGATTCATGGAATCACAGATTTGGATGGAAGATCTAGGTTTTTGTGTGTAGCATGCTATTGCTGTGGAAGAGAATGCACTGCAGAGCTGTTCTGGGTTCATTATAATGCCTTTCACCACTTAGGAGCAGCATTAATCACATAAAGATGAGCATTCTTGGGGAACAGCAGAGAATTATGTGGCACGTTAGTGGTGCTACAAGACATCACCCTATCCACCCTCTGCAGCTGATGAGCATGTTCACTCCTCTAGAATGTAAACTTCTTGCAATGTTGTGTAAACATTTCTCATTTATTGCTTCTTAATTAGTTACAGTTTACAAACTGAAAATATCAAACTTGCTTCAATAATTCTTCCTGGTGATGGAACACACCATACAACAAATGTGCTTGATGCTTGGAACCTGCTGCAATAGGTTGTCCATTTAGCTCCCAATGTCTCCCATCAATGAACTAAGTCAAATTAATGGGGTAGGGCAAATATTTCAGCCTAAAGGCCACACCCACCTTAGGGCAATTTTCTGGGGGCCACATGTAAGCGGTGGGAGGGGAAATGCCCTTAGGCTTCTGATTTTATTAAAATGTTAAACTAGCATTTTAACCACCTTCTCTGGTTGGGGTTTTTTAGTGTCTTTGTGTGCTGGCATTTTTAGTAATTGGAGACATATCCAAATGCTTCATACTCAAAGTAGACCCATTGAAATAAATGGTTTTAAGTTACTATTATGAGTTTTGGGAGGTGAGCTCCTGCCCCCAATAACCTCTACATTCAGTGAAGGGTTAGAAATTCATGAGCAAACTCATATATTCATGAATTTAGCAAGGGCTGGAAATAATACTAGCTAGCTTCCTCATGAGGCTCACTGTGGGCGGTTCATTGAAGAAACAAATGGCTGATAAAGGCCTGCTTTTTTTGATAATAGCAAGGCATTGGCAAACATCAGACTCTCTGCCCAGTAGCTTTTGGGGTTGGTAGGATTACCATTGGCCTGATGTAAGCAATAGCAAAAAAGAACATATCCTTTTGCGGTGGACTTGAGAAACAGAGGTTGCCATGGTTGGGGCAACAGAGGCTGGGGATGCTGGAAGCGGAAGGTTTGTTTTTTGCAGGTGCCACTAGGAAACAGGAGGAGGAAGTGGGCAGAACTCCATGTCAGGACTGAAGAGCAGCCGCCATGCTGGCTGGCTGGAGCAGGCTGTTACAGACAGACACAGCTTTGGTGCTTAGGATGCCGCTGAATCCAATGCTGTGCTGTTGGGAAGGACAAGCCCCTCTAGAGATGCAAATGCTGTGAGCTCTCCATAAAACTCAGGTGTAAATATGTGTGTAAAAACCATACTTCATAAAGACCCTAGCCTCTGTTGTGCCTCATTTTCTCCAAAGAAACACAAACCCTGGTGAAGTGTCAAGAACCCTGGAATCTCTCGCTACTGCTCGACAGAGATTGGGGTGGCTTCATTCAATAGTTCTACTCTGAATACAACTAATGCTGGATACAACACTTGGGTTTTCTGAAAGGAGTGGGGAACCTCCAGCCCACAAGTCTTTATACTTTGATCATGTAAATCACCCTGTGATCTTTGGATGAAGAGTGGTATAAAAAAATTAATGAATAATAGTAATAAGTCAAGTGCAGAGTCAATTAACAATGGTCCCAGGGTATGATTAGGAAAGCACATGGAGCCAATTGGTAAAGCTGAGCAGGTCTGGATTTGGTCAGTACCTGGACAGGTGACCTCCACAAACCACAAACTGCATTTATGCCAAACACAATTGTAAGAAAATAGTCACAAATAATTGAATAAAGTGCAAAGTAAATGGAATGTCATTGGTAGGACTGTTGGGGCTTTTGGCTGGCTGGAATGACTCCTCAAACTCTCCTAATGCCAATTGCTTGCCTGAAATAAAGATGGAGAGGTGTATGGCTGGGTGTGTAGAAGTTTACTACACAAAGTAAAGAATCACATCCAGTGCTCTGCACACTTTTGCCTCTGTTTCCACCCAGTACAGGCATTTGGCTCCCAGAAGCTTGTCAGTGAGAGATTGTGGCCTTCAGATTGAAAAAAGATTTCCCATCCCTGTTCTACGTGAGCAGGAATTCTGAGTACACAGGTAAGGCAATAAGTTTCAAGAGACCATTGTGATGAATATAAGATCTGGACCCCAGCATGCAATACTGAATGACCTATTCAAAGGGACGTTATATGGTGTCTCTCTCCCTCTCGACAACCAAAATGACAGGTATTATTTCCCTTTTAACAAAATGAGGTGCTCAGGTTGTTCCATCAAAATGGGTTCTTTACTCATCTTCATGTCAGGCAACAAACTTCTGTGCTTTTAAAGAAAGTACTGTGTTTTTGTTTTTTGAAGTTTGCTAAATTTTCCTACCAAATGTTAGTCAAAATACTATGAACTTTACTTAACTTTTCAAGGCCACTTTTCTGCATGTCATTAATCTACCCCCCAGGAGATGCAAAGGGCATTTTAATTTTCCCAGCAGATCTTGTCTTGAAAGACAGAGATATGAGTTTATCTCTCTATCAAAGCAGCATTATGTTGGAAGGAAAGCAACAACTCTGTCTTACATATCCTCAGGAACAGAGAATGGCTGGCATCCTTCTTATCTAACAGGTATGACCATTTCTCCAATGTAAAGGGGGGAAATGGATGGTGATGAGTTGTTCAGAGAAATTGGAAGCTTTGAGTTAAGCATGTGTCCCAAAGTTTGAGAAAGTGATATTCTCCTTTGGAATATTTCAAAACAGTACTGTTGCTTTCTTTTGAAGCTCTTCTACTAATGCAAAATATACTTTCAATAAGACTGAAGGCTTGGGTTGGTAGACATATCAACTAAAGTTTGCTAGTTGATTGAATGAAGGTTGGTAACTTGAATTAGCAAGAGCCAAATGTGGCAGAGGAGCCAAGAGGTTATTAGGGGGGCTAATTTAGTTGCTACGAGTTTCTATAAAAGGGAATCAATAAAAGTTAAATAAAACTTTTTCTTCTAACATTAAATTCAAGTTACATTGCACTTTAAAAGTGATCTGCTCACAGTATACAAAAACTGGCAGTGATCTACCCATTGTTGTTGAGCTTTTTTTGGGAATGGCAAAGTTTGGGTGGGCAGGGGGAGGAGCTCACTGAGGGGCCCAAGATCTACCAGCATCTACCAGGAACACCCCACGATCTACCAGTAGATCACAATCTACCTGTTGGACCTGCCTGCTGTAAAACACTCCCCAACAGAGATGGGGTAGGCATCCTCCCTTTTGACTTTTCAGATGTCTCTTAAAGACCTTTTTATGCCAACAAGCCTATGCAGTTATTTAGAATTATATTGAGTAGCCAATCATTATAATAATTGCTCTGTATTACCTTTAATGGTTTTTATGTTTTTATATTGCACCATACTGCCCTGATATTTTATGAGATGGTGGTATATAAATACATCAATTAATAAATAAGAGTAAGAATAAGAATAAAGAATAATGAGGTATGGGTAACATTACATTATTTTAATGAAATTGACTAATTGGTTAAAGAGCTAAAATTATATTAAATTCATTGATAATCCTATATTAAAATTATGCTTACCTATATTTAAAATTAACTAAAAGGCAGACAAGGTTTTAAAAAGCATTTAGGCACCCCTTAATCATGATTATCATGCCTCTCTCCCCCTGCTCTGTCATTGCTATACATTTATATATTTTGATAGTATTATATGCCCTAATGCTGAAGTAGGGAGTGCCTCATCATTTACCATATAGCACTTTTAATTTGCACAGTGTTTCATAATCTTACAATGAGCACTGACACTTTATGGAATAGATTACTGCTCCCACTTTTCAGAGGCAGTGTGTTTTCCAGTGCGAAAAGATGGAGCATGAGTCTCTTAATCTCAGGGCTGCAGGCTTGAGAGCCACATTGGGCAAAAGATTCCTACATTGCAAGGGGTTGGACTAGATGACCCTCGCGGTCCCTTCCAACTCGACAGTTCTGTGATGCTATGATGCAAGTTCTCCAGGCCATAGTTCCAACCCGATCCGACAGGTTTGGTGTGAATTCTTATGAAAGCATTGCATGGGTTAGTTATCCCTAAACCCTGCACTTTCTCTCTGTAAGCTGCTATGTGAAGTAAAAATGCTAATCTGCATTCTTAGTAGACAGTGAAGGATATGTGCCTCCTGCTACTGAATTCATGCTCCCCACAGTGCAGATGGCAATGGAAGCAAAAGCCTGTCACAGGGCAGAAACTAGCATGGAAAAGGCCAGAGGGAGCACCTTAGTCATATTATTGTCTCTGATAATACTTGAAGCATTATCCCCAAGTTTCTTCAGATGCTGAAGTGCTAAAACATTTTGCTCAGGCTTTTAAATATATACAACCATCCACCCACTCATATGGTTGGAGCCCGTTATGACTGAATTCCCGTTTTTATAATATTCTTTTACTGGTTCTATGCTGTAGTTTGTTTTTATGTATTCACTATTTTATTGTATTTTGAAATAATAGGCAGCTCAGAAATGTTTTCAAACAAACAAACAAATAAGATTTTATACCCCCTTTCCACTGAAGTACACAAGGCAGCTTACCTAAAATCAGCACAGTACCAAAATACAACCCCAAAGCAAAACGACATATTTTCCCTATCTACCCCTCGGCTAAGTTAGTGAAACTCTTCACAACGAACTCCTCACAGAAACTCCTCACAATGAAGCTGATTTACCTTCAAGTTTTTACACAGTGGCTGGATATGGGGGTCGTCCCTTATGAAGTAGTCTCTGTAGCTACGGTGGAGCAGGTGAACAGGGAATCAAGAAACAGAAACGGCTCTCTCGATTGGTTAACCTGGATATTTTTTTTTAAAGGTGAATTTGTGTATACATTCTTGGACTGTTACATGTACAAAATGCTAAAACGTTCTCTTTCTTGCAGATACCCCCCCCCAAATTGTCACCCCTCCTTACATTTTTCTAGTGATAGCCATCATCTCATGGAAGTAAGTACTGTACATATCATCATGATTTGTTTTATCATCATGATTTGCTAGCAGCTTTGGGGGGCAGGGAGGGATTATTTAAGAAACCAGAAAACAGCTCAGCCTGCAATCCTAACCCTGCTTGCTTTGGAGTGAGCCCCACTGAAATAAGTAGGACTTCCTTTTAAATATACATGGTTAAGATTGTGCTGTAAAGCTCTCTTGTTCTGAGTTTTATATAAAAAATAAAGTATTATATGTGCATAATTGTGCTTATATACTGAGAGAAAGATAGGGCAAAGAAGGGAGCAGGGAAGTACCACAGTATTAAAAATACTTTAAATGCACACACATATATACACACACCTCTCTGTCCCCATTAGTTTTTCACTGATTAAACATTTGTATAAGCTACTGTTTTATTGTTTTAAAGCTGGGACTGTGTAAATATCTTCCTGCTGGTTTATAGTTTAATGCAGAGGTGGATAACTGGTCGGCCCCATAGGTTGCTGGCCTCCTAACGCTCATCAACCCCAGTCAGTCAGTTGTCAGGCATGATGGGAGTTGTAGTACAGCAGCATCTGGAGGGTCACAACTTCCCCAACTCTATTCTACTGACTGGTGTTCTTGTGTTCTTTATTCTGAAAGTTTTATTCTGTTTTAATACAAGTTTTAAAACTAATACATTGCATTATGGAGCATTGCATTGTTGTGTTTTATAGTTATATTCCTGTTCACCATCTTGAGTGCAAGTAATGCAGAAAGGTTGTGTGTGTGTGTGTGTGTGTGTGTGTGTGTGTGTATATCATAGGACATTAATGGCAGACATTGCTGTTACATGTGGCACATCTCCCTTTTGCCTTCAGCGAGCAGGTTTTTCAGGATTTGTACTGTAAAGCTACTGATTCTCAATTTATTCACATCTCCAAACACTATATGCACAACTTGAATATATTCATATTATGCCAAATAGAGCCACTCATTTTTATTACCTGTATGACAACACTTGTGAAGGTTTTCAGTTGGATAAACAGTGATTATACAAAGCAGCGTTTCAGAATGGGTGGGTTGTTAAGCACATTCACCTTCTCTTTCAGATACAGGTAACAGACAAAATCTGAGGGAAAACCTGCTCTTAGAGCAACTTCTCTGCCGTCTCCCTACTCAGATTGGCAAGTGCTGCTTCTGCATATATGAATATGAAAACAGAAGCAATGGTCAAGGGGAATCAGACAACAGTGACTGAGTTCATTCTCCTTGGTTTCACAGAACATCAAGAGACACAGGTAGTCCTCTTTGTGCTCTTCCTGGCCATCTATGTGGCCACCCTGGTGGGGAACATCGGCATCATGACGTTAATCTGGATCAGTCCCTCTCTGCACAGTCCGATGTACTTTTTTCTCAACAATCTGGCCTTCCTAGACCTCAGTTACTCCTCTGCCATTACTCCCAAGATGCTGGCCAGTTTCTTAACAGGAAGGAAAACTATTTCGCTTGCAGGATGCATTGCGCAAATGTATCTGTTTGCTTCCTTTGCAGATGCGGAATGCCTCCTGCTGGCTGCCATGGCGTACGACCGCTACATGGCCATTTGTAACCCGCTGCTTTATCCGGTTCTCATGTCGCGCAAGGTTTGTGTCTGGCTAGTAGCTGGCTCCTATCTCACAGGCGGCATGAGCTCATTTATGCACACTTACTTTACCTTCCGCCTCTCCTTCTGCAATTCCAATGTCATCAATCATTTCTTCTGTGACATCCCTCCTCTGTTGGCCCTCTCCTGCTCCAACACCCACTTCAATGAAATCCTGCTCTTTGCCCTTTGTGGATTCATCCAAACGAGCACTTTCGTGTTCATCCTTATTTCTTACGCCTGCATCCTTTGCACCATCCTAAGGATCCACTCAGCAGAAGGCCGCCACAAAGCCTTTTCCACCTGCACGTCCCACTTGACAGCTGTCACTTTGTACTATGGTACTCTTCTCTTCACATACTTGCGCCCAAGCTCCAGCTATACTCTGGACACAGACAAAATAATCTCAGTGTTTTATACTGTGATTTTCCCCATGTTGAACCCATTGATCTACAGCTTGAGAAATGAAGAGGTGAAGGATACCCTCGGCAAAATATTGCGAAGGAAAGTGATGGTACTCAGAGGTCGATAGCAAGATTTCCATTTATTATTGGTGGCATAAACACCACCACTTGCCATACAGATTTGAATCTATGGATCCACAACAACAGAATGCTACACCCTTTACAGTACTTGTGGTTGTATTATATTTAAGGTTGCCACACATCTGGAATTTCCCGGGCATATCTGGAATATTGCATTTGGAAGCAGTGTCTGGGTAGGAATCGCAAAAATATTTGGGAAAATCCAGACGTATGGCAACCCATGTCAGCAATATTGTTTTTGGCTATTTCCCTTAAAAATAACTCAGAAAACTTCAAAAGGGTTTGCCCAACAAATTTGGCCAAAACTCAAAAAGCTAAACAACTTTGGCAAAGGAAGAAGAAGCTCAGCAACTTTTCTGGCTGGATTTTCACCATTTGGAATATGTTGACCCTAATAATATTGCTTCAGTTCGGTTTTGCAGGTGATCATTACTTCATTTAAAACCATTTACTTAACCAGTGATATTTAGATGTTTAATGGCTGTGTGGGACATAGCAGCTTTCTAATGGAAAAGTTGGAGAACATTACATCTTTTGGAAGAGGTGATGAAGACATTTTCAAATAGATACACTGTGAGTCATATGATTTGTGGATCACGGTCATAAAGTTTCTCTCAGTTATGAAAACACTGTAAGTGCTCTGGATAAGAGTTCCTATAAACAATTTATTGGGACAGTATAAAATAGTATTTTCACTGAAGCTTTATTCAGAAATTGCTCTCTTCATGCTCAGAAGCATCTTACTGAAAACACAATGCTGGAATAGATGGACCTGTGGTTTGTACTGTCAGTGATCACCTTCTAGACCTGGAGACACATTTCTAATCATTTTCTGAATTGCCATGAGTGCATCATGATTATATGTCACACACAGTTAGGAATGGGCCTAATGTTTCCCAGTGGACAATTCAGTGTAAAAGGGGGTGTTTCAGGGGGTTGAGAGATCCCCATATGAATATATTTAGGGTAGGCCCTTATGCATCATCAAAGAGGTGGGCAAAAGAGGGCACATATTTGCATAAAATTAGCATCGGGTAATGCACACAAATAGAAATAAATAAATTACTATAATTTAAATAGAAATATGTCTCGCCATAGTGAGAAGGAATGTGACCTGTGTGCCTTCTCAATCTGTTGTGGTTCAGGTGTTGTTGATGAGGAGTTTCAAGGCTTCCTCACCCTCTCCCTCCTTGTGGTTCTTTAAGCTGGACTCGACAGCTTTAAACAGTGGACTGTCCTCTGTAAAAGTAGGACACACAACCACCCTAGTCATATTTGCCACCCCCAACAGGTGCTACTTGGGCATTATTTTTGTTCCCCTTTAAAATTGCCCTTTGCAATCCTAGTAATGGTGATGTTGCTGCCCAGCCAATCAGATTTGGTTATTTGAGGGCAAGCACAGCTAATGAAGAGCAAGTAAAGGTCTGAATTAGTTTGCTTTGCTTTTGGTGACATTGTCGCATAGCCAGATCAGAGTGGCATTGCCGCTGTTACTGGTGGGAGATGGGCACTTTGATGAAAAGTGCCACAGTAAAGCTGCAGCCATTTTCAGTAGCAGTAGCCGCCAGTTATAGTGTTGCCATTGGAACAGGGAGCACCGAGCTAAGGACTGCCTCCTCAGTGAGTGGGGCCTGGCTAAATTGCTGGGACTTCTCTCTGTAATGGCCTCAGGAGAAAAGGGGCCCTGATCACAAACGGTGAGTGGGATATTTGCCAGGGGAGGAAACCACATACACCCCCATTATAACCCAGCCTTAAGGTAAAGGTAAAGGGACCCCTGACCATTAGGTCCAGTCATGACCGACCCTAGAGTTGCAGCGCTCATCTCACTTTATTGGCTGAGGGAGCCGGCGATTATGTGGTGAGCATGACTAAGCTGCTTCTGGTGAACCAGAGCAGTGCATGGAAACACCATTTACCTTCCCGCCGGAGCAGTACCTATTTATCTACTTGCACTTTGACATGCTTTCGAACTGCTAGGTTGGCAGGAGCTGGGACCAAGCAACGGGAGCTCACCCCGTTGCGGGGATTCGAACCGCTGACCTTCTGATCGGCAAGTCCTAGGCTCTGTGGTTTAACCCACAGCGCCACCCACGTCCCTAACCCAGCCTTAGATAATAAATTATTTGAAGGGTGGTTGTGAGTGCTCACAGAAAAGGACAAGAAGCCCAATTCATTTAATTTGTGTTTCAGTGACTGAGCCTGGTCTTCACTAATCTCCACCTGCTGTGTGTGTGTAATCCCCCCCAAAGGATACAGTGTGCATCTCCAGACATGCAGTGAACATGTACCTGGAAGCATAGGTGCCAACTCCCTGGAGCCCTGGGTGCCTGAGCACCCACAAGATTCCCCATGAAGGGGCCGGGCACCCACAAATTTCAGTGCCAGGGGCATGTACACTGCATGGCACCCACAGCCCCGGCGACCCATGGTCACGAGGCCAAGCTGGCACTCCTGCCTAGAAGCCATAGTTATTATTTCATTTTAGCATGTGTTTATGGAAATGGACATCTCTACTTGACATTGTATGATTTTGCCATAGTAAATACCAGCAAATCTGTTCTGCAACCAAAAGCATGAACTGGCCCTTTCATGTTGTATTCCTGCGCACAAAGAGTAGGGAAGGGGGAGAAATTTTATTCAGTTCTCCTTTAAAGAGGGAATCTAACTAAACTGCACTTTCTGAAACAACACAAGGAGCAAAACACAGACATCCTTCAGAATTTACAATTCTGAAAATTTTGCAATGCAGTTCCCCAGACAAGTAATCTCTCTCTCTCTCGCTGTGTGTGTGTGTGTGTGTGGTGAGGTATGCATGAAACTGCATATACTGGTGAAAAGCATACAAACGTGCATTATATTAAGGGAAATTGCTTTGCAACTATGTGTGTATTCGAATAAATTCACACTAAAATGCTGATGAATTTTCATGAGGACTTTAAAAACTAATTCACATTAAAAAAACAAAACCTTCTACATCAATTTGTAAGTGTGGAGAAATGAACTCCAGATTGGAAAAATGAGAAACTGAAATCAGCAAATTTGCCCATCATCACATGGGTGTAAGCTCAGTGGAAACTGCATGGCTGACCCATGAGGAAACATGTATAGGATTGTTCTCTCAGTGATGTTCAGGCTCACTGGTTGAATTGGCTCATTTCTGCTACCTGGTTTTCTGCCAATTTCTATCTCATGCTTCAACTTACTCACTGGGAAGAGAGAGTGAAAGATGGCACCAAGAAGCAATGAAGAAACACTCCTTTTCTCTTGAGTCAGTACTATTCTGTACTAGGGGATCCTCAGATTCTACTTCTTTCTCACATTACATCAGCCCTTTAACAAGCACAAATCAAATTTCATGCCAAAAAGAAAAGAAAGAAGGAGGATGAGATGAATAATGGAGGATGTGGGGGAAAGAGTCAAGTAATTCTTTCCCTATTAAATATGCAGGAATACGGTACAGGGAAACACCAATTATCAATGAATAGGTTTTAAATTGTTTCCACATTTATGTAATGTGGTTTCAGGGTTGGGGGTGCTTCCTTCTCCCTGTTCAGAATCCCTCCCCCTGCAGTGTCAGATGAACAAAGATATCACTGAGAAAATGACATTCTTCCATTCAGAATAGGAATCATGGAAAGATGCTATATATCCTAAGTCAGACAATTGGTCAATCTAGCACAATATTTTTTTACTCTGACTGGCAGCTGCTCTCCAGCATTTCAGATGGGGATCTCTCCCAGCCCCACCTGGGATCTTCTGCATGCAAAGCAGATGCTCTACCAGTGAGCCACATCAAAACAACATAGTACATTAGAACCAAACCATGTAGAAGTGTGGCTTCTTCATACTCAGGTGTCTCTGACCAGGTTTATATATTCTTCTAGACCGCTCCTTTACAAGTCTATCTATACACAAAGTAGATAACAAATGGACTAAGAAGAGCTTGTGTCCCCTTTTCTCTGCATTTCATCACTAACAGCAGCACGCATTTCTCTCCAATGTTCTCTTCAAGGCGTCCTTCACCTCTTTGTTCCTCAGGCAGTAGATCAAGGGGTTCACCATGGGAAACACCACTGTGTAAAACACTGAGATTATTTTGTCTGTGTCCATGGCATAGCTGGAACTAGGACGTAGATACATGAATAAGAGGGTGCCATAGAAAAGGGCAACAGCTGTCAAATGGGAGGTGCATGTGGAAAAGGCTTTGTGGCGGCCATCGGTTGAGGGGATCCTCAAGATGGTGCAAAGGATGCAGGCATAAGAGATGATGATGAGCACAAATGTGCTCATTTGGATGAATCCACACAGGGCAAAGAGTAGGATTTCATTGAAGTGGGTGTTGGAGCAGGAGAGGGCCAACAGAGGAGGGATGTCACAGAAGAAATGGTTGATGACGTTGGAACCGCAGAAGGAGAGACGGAAGGTAAGACAAGTGTGCACCAGTGAGGTCATGCTGCCTGTGAGATAGGAGCCAACTACCAGACATATGCACACTTTGCGTGACATGAAAAGTGGATAGAGGAGTGGGTTACAAATGGCCATGTAGCGGTCATACGCCATGGCAGCCAGCAGGAGGCATTCTGCATCGGCAAAGGCAGCAAACAGATACATTTGCACAATGCATCCTGTGAATGAAATGCTCTTCCTCTCTGCTATGAAGTTGGCCAGCATCTTGGGAGTAATGGTGGAGGAATAACTGAGGTCCAGGAAGGACAGATTGTTTAGGAAAAAGTACATTGGACTGTGCAGAGAGGGACTGATCCAGATTAATGTGATGATGCCAAAGTTCCCCACCAAGGTGGCCAGATAGATGGCCAGGAAGAGCACAAAGAGAATGGTCTTGATCTCCTGACGATCCGTGAAACCAAGGAGAATGAACTCTGTCACTGCCGTGAAATTCCCCTTGGCCATTTCCTCCCGTTTTTGTTTCATTGCATCTGGATCTATGGTAGGTGAATCAAGAAGAATGAGCTGTGGGGACAATGAAATGGTTTTAGACAGTAGTTTCCTCTGCCTCTCTCTTGAAACTAGAAGAAGGAGAGTACCGTAAATATTCTCAAAAGCTGCCTCGTATATTTTATAGGGAGGTGTGCGATATATGGCAAAATTAAACAAACAAACAACAACAAATATATAAATAAATATTATCCTTGTGAGAACATATTGGGTGTGGTTGCAGTTGCTTGAAGGAGCAGTGTGGGAGGGCTCTTTGCAGAGAACAGTCTTCTTTTTGAAAGATGTCCTCTATTTGAAGGGCTACCTGGTTCTCAGCCAGGCTATCACATGACGGCTCCTGAGGCTGCCTCACCAGTAGTGGCTGGTGTGGAGGGGCAGTGCCCATGCTCCTGGCCTCCTGTCAGCAGAGCTGCTGCTACTTACTGGGAGTCTGAGGCAATGAGGGGGTTAATGCTGTGCAAGTGCACTGGTGGAGCCACTATTAGTTTAGTAACTTGGGCCACAGCTTAATTGGGCATTTCACAAAGGAGATCTACAGAACTCTGATTGTGGTGTAAACTATTGCTAGAGTGTGTAAAAGTACCTTAAATGGTTAATTTGTAAATGCTATGGCTCAAGTGTGATTAGAAACCTCACTTGCTGACCTGAATTTGCCTTCTCTCTTTGATGATAAAGGACACTTTGCACGTGCTCAGAGCTACTGTATCTTCCTTATTGCCATGTATTTCTCAGAGTTGAGCCTTGGCATTAAAATATTTTACAGGGCTTCAACCTCATGAAATTAATCTGAAATTAAGCCAAAAATGCCACTGCATAATAGTCAACATGCTTAGAAATAAGTTGTCTTTCTGTGTGTTTATTGACTGCTCAGAACAACTTGCTGCCAATAGACGTCTGTTTATAGAACTTCATTCTGTATAACCACTTGCTTATTTTTTTAAAAAAATACCCAAAGTAGTATATGCAAAAGCAGTAAAATGCAAAAGCAGTACAAACAGAACACCTAAGTGCCCTCATAACATTATTGGAAAGAATAGGTCACTTATAATATTGTATAGTTTCTTTTCACCCTATGCAAATTATA